AGTTTTACTTCTTTTATTTTGTTGATTTCTTCTAGCTGATTTTTATTATGTATATTAAAACTTTTTGATCTTTTAATTAATTTTTCATCTTTAAATACGATATTATTAGAACATTCTCCTTCATTTAATTATGTTATTTCAGATTTATTTTTTGTTATATTAAACTCGTATTCCTCTGGAATTAAACTTATTTGTTTATTTGATTCTATTATTTTACTAATATCTTTACATTCTTTATGAACTTCAATTTATAGTTTATTGAAATAAATATTCTCATAATTAGAATTAGTAAATGTATATAAAGCTCTATATTCTATAGTCATAATTTGATCACTTGGTTGCATGATATCATCTTTATGAAGTTTAAAATGTAGTCCTAAAACTTCATTAAAATTTATATCTTTTAATGATACACAATATTTTGGATAACATGTAAACATAATTTTTTTGATATGCTAAATTTCCTTCTATTATTCCTAAATGATTATCTTTTAAGTTTATTATTATTCCATCATGTAAAGTTATAGTTAAGAGTGAATCTATCCCTCCTCTAAATAGTGATTTAAACATTATTTGTATTCCTATTAAATAAACATATTGGATTTTTTCACTTTGCACTGGCATTCAGTTTCCAAGTGCATAGAAATTGAAAGATGCATTATTTTTTTTTTTTTTTTTACGGAAAATACACAGCCGATACCCTTCGGGTGTGCACTGGGTAAACCCTCGAGCAGACGCAATAGCCTACAAATCAGGCTAGCCAGGTAAATCACACTAGGTAAGCCCTATGCAACAGGCTCGACCGAGAAAGTGTTGGTAGGGAGAATCAAACTCGTGACCAAAAGCCTCCTCGCTAACGTACTCCACCAACTCGATCACCCCATGATGGGCTTTTTTTGTATAATGTCTTTGTCGAATGGAAACTGGTTCATATAGCAGAGTCATCGACTATAAATTCCTTAAGAATAAATTTTAATCTTAGTGTCTTGCAAATTGTGATGAATATGTTAGTTAGATTTGAGTTCTTAATGTATAATTGTTAAACATATGATTAATCAAGTGTTTACAACTTCGGCTTTCCTCCTTATTTTCCTTGCTACATTGCAGTTTCAAGGCATGTAAAACATAGAAATCTTGACAAAGTCCCTTCCTTAATCGAATTTGAGGGGAGATTTTGGGAGAGGATAATCTTACCTGCAACCAATAAAATGCATCTCTTGCACAAATGGACGTTAAGAATAAGTCGACATATGTAACTTGTTGGTTCAAGCCTAAAGGTGGAGTCGAGCTTTGGCTCAGCTTGAGCCAAAAAATTCGAGCCTTTTTTTTCTATGGTCTTCGACTCGACCCGATTTGTTTACATTCCTAAGTGAAACACTAGAATATGTACTTTTAATTTAGTTAAAAAGTAGTATACATTAGTTTATAAAACTTAATGCACCTTCAATATTTATTATTAAATAATGATACTATTGCATAATAAAATGACGTGTTAATGTCATATATTCATCATTGCAATATTAGAAAACAAGATAAGTAAATTTAAACTATGTCAAACAAAATAAGTAAATATTCTTATAGTTTACTTTGGACAAATTAGCCCATGTTCGACCATCATTATTTTGAAACTTTTTTTTTCTACATACTTATTTTCAATTACACATTTGGACAATAAAATATTCTACACGTAAATCAAAAATTTGTTCATATATTTTAATCACACATTATCTTAAAAATCACCATTTAAAACTCTATTTTATTCAAATAATGATTGTCAAACAGGGCTAAATTTGAATTAATCATATAAAATTTATTATTATTTTTCCTTGTTATATCTTAAGTATAATAACCTCATTTTAGATGATATATTAACTAAAAAGTGGTCACGAGGTATATGTCAATATCAAATCTAAAAATATTTTTGAAACATGGGTGGTAGCCTATATTTCTTTTCTTTTCCTATTCAATCTTATACTATCTACCTTGACTTTGTTTTCTTTTCGAATCGTGCTATAGTGCCGGATGTCTTAACATAATATTACATGACATACCATCATTGAATTGTTTTAAATATAGTCAGCTTTTCCATTAAATCATTTGCTACCATTTCGAATTATGTCACTGCATTTCTTAATTTCTTTTGATAAAGTGAAAAAAATCCTTTCTTTATTAGGCCATTGATTTTTTTGTCCCCTCAATGTGTCGCCTCTTTCGATTGTAATTTTAGTGAATCATATTATACGTGAGTTATAAAAAGATATTAAAAACACCAATTATCACAACCTAAATTAAAAGTTTAAAAAATTTTATAAAGTTGGTCGAATACAAATTGTCTTTGGAGACCTATATATCTTGACCTAGAAATATATTGTCCAAGGTAAAAGTTTTAAATGAAAAGTTGTATGCAACGTTATTAATTTGAAATTGTGAAGTTGCTTGTTATATCTATTCAGAGTTCAAAATTGAATCTTGACTTATTGGTATCGTCTACATTCAATAATACTAAAACAAAATAACTTTATTCAAAAGAAATTTATTTGATTTCGAAGTGTGTCCAACAATATTAAAATATTTGAATTTTAATGTTTTGAAAAAGGCAACTTTAAGACACTATATCTTTCTCTTTCTAACATCAAATTGAAGTTCTTATATCACACTACAAATCCTCTTACTCTCATGGCGGCACCTCCATTTATATACTAACAAGGCATGGAGAATCTAACCGGGGCATTGTTTGGACATTTTTTAAACCACAATAATATATTTTTTCTGAGATCTTGTAATATCTTTATGTTATTATTGTTCAAAAATTATGAGTTTTTGACATAATTCATTAATTAGGATATTGCACAAACTTTGATTTTCAATGTTTTCTCGTCCACGATTGTATCTTTTAGTGATTTTTAATTATGCTTTTATAAATAGGGGTTGCAGATATTATGTAGAACATGAAAAACTAGAGATCTTTTCATACATATACCCAGATCATTTTGTTTAAACAAAATTCAAAAAAAATCAAATTTTTATTGTTCATTTTTCCGGGGTTTCATTTATGTTTTCTTCAACTAGATTAAGACTTGATTAATTCAAGTTGGCAATTTCAACGGGTTCCAATAGCATCTCAAGATCGAGAGGGAGTAATTTCCTCATTTAAGATAACATTTCTCAACGCGTTCAAACCTCATTTTTCGACAAATCTTCCTTCTCTAGTTCGATTTTGTCGATTTGTGTTCAAATATTCATCCTCCAATTTGATGTTCGAATCTCTGTCTCCAACTCTTTCGAGTTTCCCCATACTTCCTTCTAATTTTTTTCTTGAATGAACTCAACTCGATTATTATGAATAGTTATTTTCACATTTTACCCATATTTTATCTAAATTTATTTTTATCAAAAAATTATATATTTTGTGTATTAAAGGGATGTTTGACAAAGTTTTATCAAAAAGTAATTAAACATATTATTAAAATTTTATGAATCTCATTAAAAATGTGCAACAACATAAAAATTTGAACAGTTAAAAATACTAAAATTTTATCAAATAAGTACTAAATCATGAAAGATTTTGGAGTATCTATGTTCACAAATTAAGAATCTGATTTCGCATGATTGAACTGCACCGATGCCACGCGTTACTACTGTAGCTAGTGGAAGACAAAACAGCAGTGTATCCTTTAACTTTGAATCTAACGTAGGGCTGTTTGATTTGTTGAAATTTTTCATTTTCCAATGTTTGATTACAAAAAATTTCGCGGTAATTTTTTTGGGTAATTAGCGCAAAACATTCTTATCTTTCGAGGTTATTGTGAAAAACGTCCCTACCTTTCATTTTTTGGTATTTTTGCCCTTATTTACCACCTTTCTTGCGCTGAAGGTCCTTTTCACTGTTTTTTGACGATTTTGCCCTCTATTCAAATAAAAGAAAAATAATAGAATAGAAAACAAAAGAATTAATTGCAACTAATACCCCAAAATTTCAAAAAATTACAAATTAGTAATAAATATAGGAGTTAATAGCCCAAATGGTTACTAAACTCTGTCAAAGGTCCAAAAAGGTCATTGAACTTTTTTAAATACAAAAAGAAAAAAAAAACCAAAAAAACCAACAAAAAAAATTGAAGAAACGGGCCCCACCAACAAAAAAAAGGACCAAAAATAATAATAATAAAAATAAAATAAGGAATGTGAAAATGGAGGAAGGTGAATAATGTGCCATAATTAATCTCTTGCTTATGAAAATTTCCCTTTTTTTTATTTGTGAAATCACTTCTAGAACTCGTGTGTTTCTTGTTGGAATCATTTTTATGATGTTTGAGTAATGAAATTTATGTTGTCTGATTGCTTCTCTTATCAGGTGAATGCACCCCGTTTTCTGTGATGATTATGTTCGTAGTTAACTGGAAATCATGGGTAAGAGCATTTAGAGTCTTATGCAATAAGGGAACGGTGTTCTTCATTTGGACCTTCAACTGAATATGCATAGGATGCTGTAGTTGTACATTGATCTTTAATTTTAAATTATTTTCGAGAGATTCCTTCGTAATAGAGCGTGTTGTCGTAGTTAAAACTTATGAATGTTACTTGATGCGCTGGTTAGTAACTACTATTCAATTTGTACTTATCTGTAATGAGAATTTTTCTACTTTCCAAGCCTTGACTTGTGATTTGGTTTCTTATTTGCATGCGTTGGTTTCTCGTCGAATATCTGGACAATTGAGTTGCCTGTTAGCATATCACCAGTGGTACATAATTGGCAAATTTTGAACTGCATATTGTTTTGATGGGAAGTTGCTGCTAATTTTCCCACTTTCGAAATGACTTGTTCATGCACAGGCCATATTTGATGTCATTGTTTGGACCATTTGGTTCAGAAGTGTCGAATTTCTGAGGGTAGACTTTTGGAACAAATACTAGGCATGAGCACATCGGCCAGATTCGTTGAGCTTGGACAAATTAGCCCAACCATGAGCTCATCCTTGGCTGAAATCTCAGATTCGTTATTGACCAAAATGGTGCTTTCTAATCTTCCATTTTGTTTAGCCAATTTACACTTTGAACTATCATTGTGAACTGAAGGTTTATAATGCGCAAATGGTAAGGAAATGCAACAAGCTTTAACCATAATACATCCTCGCTCATTCAGAAAAATATATCACAATCTATGGTAAACACCAAAATATTTCCTCCACATAATAGCCGCAACATCCTTCACCCTCAGAATAACAACCCAAAAAAGGAGGGAAGAAGATGAGGCCACTTGCACGGGTTATGTACGGATATTTCAGAGTTCGAGCAATTTTCATTTCCTCTTCCTTGAAGCTGATCCAGAACCACGACCCCCTTTCTTTTCTGTCGCTTGAGAACTGCCCTTCCCTCTGCCTGCAGGTGCTTTTTTGGCACTTGAGCTTCCTGAACCCTTCAAGTCCACCTGTACTTGGATGCCTAAAGGGAAAAAAAAATCAGCTTAACAGAAGGATGTAAAATAAAGTTGCAATTTTAGATCATCCAACCACTAAAGATTCTCTAGGATGTTTCAATAAGTGAAGATCACACTCTTGGGGTTTCAATAAAAATATATATGAGTGCGCGCGCGCGCCAAAAAACATATAATCGAAAACCTTTCAATTTAACCAGTAATAAGTAAAAAGTTCAGATTATACAGAAGGAAGTATTATGTCACCAACCCTTTGAAGTAAGGCTCTCTAGATCTGTTTGCAGCTGCTTCTCTGCGTCAGCTGAGTCTTCTGATACAAACGACAGGCAAAGAGTAAATAGTTTTCAATAATATTTCTTTGCAAGTGCCTGAACAAGCAAGCATGAAAAAGTAAAACGATTGATTTCATGTAAATCATCTCTTCAACAACAAAAATATTACATAAACATATAATGTCAAAAGACAATGCAACAGCAGATCTAAAAATAGAAAGGAAAAGGTGAACAAGGATTCTCTCTTCATTGGAGAGAGAAATTACCCAGTTCTTCCGTGTCAGAAAGGTTTTCTTCTTCATTTACAGCAAATTCTTCACCATTTTCTTCCGCCGAAGGATCAGTTACGGGTTCGAGCATTGCTGCAACCCGCTTTTTAGGGGCCTTTTTTATTCCAGGAAGTTTGATGAGATCTGCAGTCCGAATCACACGTGATGAGCTGCCTTTATTGTATGCTCTTGTCAATGCAGCTTTTACTGCAGGCTGTATGCCATCCAATGGATTCGGGTGCCCCTGATGAATGTGCATATTTAATATAAGTAGATGAGAAGAATCTCAAGTACATTCATATAAGATCCCGGAAATACAAAATGCGCATTAAATATACCTTAAATTTTGATATCTCAACAATTGTATCAAAGTCCTCCATGCTAATGGAGTAAAAATCCATAAACTCAACAACCTTTTCAACAGCTTCATCCTGGGAATTATTCCACCAAAAAGCATGTCTAAAAAAGAAACCAAAATCACCACATTTTTGGAACTATCGACAAGGAAGCAATGTCAACCTTAGGTAGCACCCTTAAGGGATTGGTCAACTGCTTCAACATAAGAGTAAGATAATCAAGTCGCAATGTCATCCTGTCATTTTGGCAGTAGCAGAATGTTAGGCAGCAAAAAATGGAAAACGATTACAATAAGTTGCAAGGGTGAAAAAATGGCCTAAACGAATTGAATAATTACTAGACATGAAGCATCCAAAAGGTGATGAAATAATAAACATGATGCGTAATAATAATCATGACAGCAACAAACAATTATAAGTTCGATAGCATGAGAAGAGAACAGAAGTGGTGAATCAGTATATTTGAAGACTAGGCATGCTTGCTTCATTATATTGCAGAAAGAGACCTTGTGTACAAATGCTGAATCCAACCATTTGATGGCTATAATAATTATCACAAAATAAATAAATGTGTAACCCTTACCTTCCCAAATTAGATTCATGAGATCCAAGAAGATGAACATGCAGGTCCTCAAGAAGTCTGTAATTCTTCCCCAGTGTAGAGTTCTTTCCCAGCCACCCACCAAATCTATTGTAATTGTTTTCTCCCTGCAAATGAAATTATTTTCTTAGTAAGGATAATGTAAATTTAGATCAGTCATCAATCAAGTTATTATCAAAATTATGCAACCGAAAACACTACAAAGAAGGGTCAAATTATGCAAGTGACATCAAGATGCCAAATCAACATTTGAGGATCTAACATTGCATCTAATGTTTCAAGTACAAGAAACTTCCAATGATTTGTAATGGTAAAAAACATGACACAAGCCCACATAATTGGAAAGCAAAACCTCAAATCAGTGAATGAAGTTAGCCCTTGTTTGGGATCCATTTTTACAAGGTTTTAGGGAAAAATGTATTTTGGAATAGTGATTTTTTTGGAGAATGCGTGGTTAAAAAAGAAAGAAAAAATTTTGGGTTTACATATAATATTATTTTATTAAAGAAGGTGTGGATGAAAAGAAAAGAGAGAAAAATGCATTAATATAAAAATGGAGCCCAAACACAGGCTTAACGTGATGTCACAAAAATTTCAAAACAATTGTTTTATCTATGGAAAATACCAACTGCATATCACCCGTTAAATGTAGCTAAAAGCCAAATTTTTAGTAGATTTTGATAAAAATTGATAAAATCTGTAGTTAAAAAGTTGTGGGTCCAATGAAGTGTGGTTGAAATTAATTGTTAGGGGAGCATCATTCTTCACCTAAAAGAAATTATAATGCATTTAACTTGGAAGTATTTTCATTGCCATTACTAGAAAGACCAAAACTCCATACATATAAAACTTGTTTATAATAGAAACCTTCACAATTCTACAGAGTGATTATGATGTCAACAAATTCATCAACAAGCAGCTTAGATGACCAAACTTGGCAACATTGCTGAAATAGTCTCTAAGGATTCAACCAATGAAAATTTCACAGTAGTTTTAGAAACCAGAGCATTTACATTTCCGAAACTTCAGCTCTCCCCGAAAGTGGGTTGCAAGGTGTTATTAGGTAGAACTTTTGTTGACAGACGTACAAGTTTGAAGAGTGAATAGCACAAAAAACTGTTACGTTGATCTTGGAATTTGGTCTAAAAAATTAGAAACTTTGGAACTTAGGATATGAATCCCCACTGGATGTACAAGGAAAACCTGATAGGGTAAAGAAGAAATGTTATAATCCCTAGGATGGTCCCACTTAATCTGAAAATTTTACATCACATACCTTGTCACCATCACCAAAAAATTGATTTCAGTAGAAGTAACACCACAACACAATACAACACGAAACCTTACCATTTCGACACTATAACTTCACACGAAGAAAGGCGAAAATAGAAAGGTTCTGCATTAAACTCAAACTATATCACCTAAGAAACGAAACCACTATCTTGAGAAACAAAGCAAATTGAAGCGTATTCTTTGTTTACACGACATTTCTTATTTCTTCTTTAGTAGTTTTTCCTTCTCCTAAAATCATGGACAGTTGATTGAAAAAGAAAAAATGTTGTACTCAAAACAGAAATAAGTGCACTTCTAAGTAAAAATGATCTGAAGTAGATGGACTAGAAGTTAAGGTAGCTTACTAATAGTGCCTTCAGTTGTTAGCTAAGCCTCCATCTGGGAAGAATTTATAAACTGCTTAATTTAAAAATAGACAAAAACGAGTGGTAAAATAAGTGGATAGTAATTGTGGGTCTATTGGAATGTGTGGTTGAATATAAAGTTTGATTGATTATAAATGACTAATAAATTTTGCCAAACGGAGGGTAATATAACACAAAAGCATCTTTAAGCCCTAAAATTTGCTATCTGAATTAATTCTTCACACAAACAATTATCCCTGATGTTGACATCAAATAATTATGGGATACATCTTCAGTTTGAGTTAAAGCAAGGTTGGTATGATGCATAATAGACTGTGTCAAAAGTAAAAAACAGTAAAGTCCAAAAGAGTAGACAAAGCAAGTCATATCATAGTACCCAATGAAACAATAATGAAATACAACTGTCACCTGCTCAAGTATTTCCCGTTGCCCACGTAATAGAGCCGCACTGTCACAAAAGAAATGATAGCAAAATCGATCAAAAATAGAAGTAACCCGTTTCTAGAGCTAAGTCGATAGAACTTACGGAACTATAGAAGATGCAAGAGAGCCAATTTGAGAGAGTTGCCACTGTCGATATCTTCTAATCTGGACATTAATAATATCACCATCTCCAATAGACTCTGCAGCACGGGCGAGCAAGCTCATCCTTTTCATTCCATTGTCATCTTTCCCAGTTGAACTTGGCCTATAATTGATATAGTTCTCCTGCAATCGAAACATGCACATATAACACAAATTTCTTGTAGAATACTTTTCTATTTACATGAACTTAAATGTAATTGACCTGACTGAGTACCAATTTCCCAATCGTTAAATTTGATTTCTTTTCTTTAAAATATGTAATCAAATATTGATGTGAAAAGACATTTGACTATATAAATTAGTAGGTAGAAAGAAGCCACAAACAGAGGAACAAACTGACTACATAGAAACAAATTCAGTACACCAACATTCACGAAAAATAAAAAATCGTTTGAACATCTCAAATAGAATAGTTAAAATAATTATATTGATAACAAGTAAGACTTGTTGGGGAATATTGAGCCAATGTCTTAGTGAGGGATGGAGGGGGGGGAGAGAGAGAGATGCAAGAGGGTACAGGAAGCAAGCAGATTGAATGAGACAGGAGAAAAGGAGAAAAATGAGCTCATAAACAGCATGCTTTTGGCAGAAAACATGGTTTCTGGAGAATCAAGGTAATAATCTTGCAGGTTAACTAGAATTCAAATCCATAAGATCAATGGGGGTCCAAACAGGTGTGTAGACAAGGATAAAACTATAAATCTTACAAACCAATTAAGCACTGATTTCAAACTTTCCAGCAGTTGCATTCCTCAGTCTAGATATCCTGAACTTTGGAGAGCACAAAAAGTGATTATCCAGTTTATGCTATTCTGCTCATTGTTGAATCACATCATCTAAAGCTTAAGTTGTTAAAGAAGGGACATATCTACTTAAATTTAGTCTTCTACAAACAATTTTCACAAATTGGTGAGGGAAGACTTGAACCCAGGTTTTTGCCTCAGAAACCACATTATAACATCTTGTACAAAAGCTTAATCTGTTAGAGGGGACAGATTTATATATTTGAACTTAGTCTTCAACACTAAACATAATCAACATGCATCACACATCTTTGTAAACCAATTCCTGCTAGGTAACACATTTCAATGAGTTGTGTGCAGCATAAAAATGATGGAAAGGGAATGGAAATAAAATAAACCAGATAAATTCAAACTCAGAAACATGTGCAACTAGTACGATGAGTCAAAAAGTGAGATTTATGGATCAGCAAAACATGTAATCTTAACCTTAAGAATATATAATACCTGAATAATGAGTGGGACAAGATCCGGATCACTCATGCTAAGGTCAATTCTCTCATCCATTCTCAACTTTCCAGCATTGAAATTAAACAGCCTGTATATGCAAGATGTACCTTAGGAGCTGAAATATCTTTATTTTATTTAGAAGACAATTACACTAAAGTTTCCATTTTTAGTAAGGAGTACTACTTACAAATAATTGTAGATGTCATGGTCCTCATAGATTCCAATGATAAGATATAATTTTCAGCATTTGGACACATACTCCTCACAAAGTAATATCTCTCCTCTCTATTCTGTACTACTAATCTTGGTTAGGCAAATTAGTTGAATGCGAGTTGCAAAGACTATTCTTTTTATATATAAAATAAACTTTTTTTATTTTCTAATTTTTTTGATAGAGGCAATTGGACGCATCAATTTTAACTCATGCGCGTTCACCATATTCGCGACTAATGAATCAGAAATCAATCTATCAAAGAAATTAGAACCTCCGACAACAAACAAAAGTGGGGCAAAAAGACTATCCAAATGAAAATAGCATAGCTAGAACAGAAGGATGAATAGAGAAACACAATATTAGTATTCAAGAAACTAAACAAAGATTGATGCGAGACATACTTATCAACAGCCGTAAAGGGTGATATATCTTCATCCTTTGAACTGCTTTGAAGGCGTTGTTTAATGTCATCAAATTTGATGACAGACATAGAGAGACTCATATACTGCAGTTGGTTCAGGGCCATACGCATGTCTCCATTAACTCTCTCTGCCAGTTCCTCAAGAGCAATCTATGATAAAAAAACAAAACATCATCTCAGCAAAGCTCCAGATAGACAAATCACACAGCAAAGGCATCTTGCACCATCTGCTCTAGTTAAAAGCAGAACGGAAATGGCACCTCATCTCCTCCTCCCTCAAAACACGTCAACGGAAAAATCAAACAGAAGAAAAGTAAAAACAAGAAAAGTGAAAATGATATAATCCATATAGAAGCGTCTTATTGTTGTATTACGATATCTTTAACAGGGATTGTAGTCAAAATCTAACTCCATATAAAGGCAGTGTTAAATCTTACTTCATATTGATAGCGTCGTGTTTTCCAGGTCCTGTCAGCAATAAAAAAGCTTCGTACTTAAATTACTTGATGGATCTAATTTCATATGGTATATGGTACCTTTTCTACAGCCTGGTAGCAATAGATAATAGCTTTTCTTCTTTTTGGAGCCAAAAACATAGATGATCAGTTCTAGTATTTATAATTTCCTTTCTGCTTCTAGGTTCATATCGTCAGCAGAAGGATGGATCAAAATCGAATTATGTCTGGAAGAAATAAGATACTTCATCAATTAACCAAAATAAGCCAGATGCTAATTAGTTATGTGACTTCTATATCACACTCTTCACTTGCAAGAAAAGTAAAAATTGATATCCAAAAGGTGGTATCCGTGAGAGGATCAGACTAGTCTCATTTAATGAAAAAAATACTAATGAATAGATATGATAAAGCCTATACAATTTTAGGCTCTCATAACCATAGAAATGGTTACAAAGAATCTCCAGCTTAGTTATATCATGTCCAATCAAAGATGCAAATGTCATTGCACGTGAACTCCAGCCAGGTATAAAAATTAAGCTTGCCGTGAAAGTTACAGTAAGAGCAATACCTTCATTTGATACAAGAGAAGTGTTTTTGAGAGAGAGTACCTCATTAACTTGAAGTCCTTCTTGCTTGGCTATCTGTGATAACCTTTTCCCCATCTATAAGTGGCATAATAGTTTTGTCAAAATGTTAATTAAGTCAAATGCACAAAGTAACAAGCAACAATTGCAATTTCGTTACTATGTTATGCACACATTACAGGTGTTAATCTGGGAGAATATGACTTTTAGCACAAGTTCGTATATTTTTTTTGGGTGAATTAAAATTTTCAATTAAAACAGCATCTAAATCCTCTATAACAATATCCCAGTTTTAACGAGTTAGTTATATTGCCACAGTGGGGTCAAGCACAAGTTTATAACATAAGCAGATTATAGTTATTTATACAAACCAGAGCTCAGCACCAAAAAAGAGAACAACCACTATGTATCACATTTTCCAGTCAATAATGACCATTGGAGGTCTTTTGGGTCAAAAGACATGGCCAGATTTGTTACATCCCCTCTTACTAAAGAAAAAATTAATATTTTATAAACTGAAATCCCACTGAAATCTGAAACAGCAATATGAGCACACTTCCATAATTATCTGTAGTTCTAATTTCGACTCTATGGGTGCTATTTGACGCGCGACATGTCTATAAAAAAGTCCGGACTTCTGACTTGTGAGATCAAGAAATTTACCTTCAGTGACGACAAACGCCTATAAAGTATTCTAAAATAGGCCATTCGAGATCTATTATACTTCAACTTAATAATTTATTAAGTGAACTTTCTCAAAACCATATAAAAATGTACATATGTCCCTTGCAGGAAAATAACTTCAGTGTGTCATTGGAAAAAAAATTCTGTCCAAGCTCATCAATACCCACATCCACCCCATCAATTCCATCCCCAAAACAAAGTCAAACATCGTGATATTAACTACAAATCTGAACTATTAGATTTTAAAATGGATGCTGCAAATGTTTTTTATGTTTATTTAGCATGCAAATAGAAGATGAATAAATCAAAATGACCTGCTGCTTTGTTGGTTTCCGGAAGTTTAGAAGAAGGCAGTAGTTCACTAGACTCTTTAGTTTCTGACTGTAGCGATCATTACATATGCAGATAATAGGAATTTTGGAGATCTTAATGCTGGCAATAAGATCAGCCACTCCACCTCTATCTCCTGCAGACATACCATCAACCTCGTCCATAATAAGCACTGTCTTTGGGCGTTGAGAGCTGCAAAAGTAATAAGCAATTAAGAATTCGTCCAGGAAACTCTGATGCAGGCATCATGAAAGAGTAAAGACTAACCGTTCCATGTTAAGACTCAGGGCTTCATTACTGACAAGCTCTTTTATAGAGTTAGAAGTGCTTCCACCAATTCCTTTTTCAATTTTAGCATCAGCCTTTCCACGACTGTCACTAGCATTGACCTATTTAAAATGAATGCAGTTGTTAATAACTAAAGACAAGACCAAAAAATACATGACTGAAGGAACTGATGATCTAAAAGATCTAAAAGAAATGGAAACAAGTAAAAGATCACCGAGCTTCACCTCAATTGTCCGGAAACCAAGCATCTGACTAACCAATTTAGCTGATGTAGTCTTCCCTATGCCAGGGTTACCACTGAGTAGTACAGCTTTTTTAGCACCTGAATCATTCTGTTTCTTCCCCTTTCCTTTTTGATCAGTATTGAGGAACTTTTTATTCCAGTCTGACAGCCAATCATGAAGCTGCTTCACCTGCATTTGACCAGCTATCACTAGTACAGAATTTTCAGATAGAGAGATCTTTGCATAAAGGAATATCTTTAGAAAGTAAAGCTAGGATGACAGCACTCAGCACCCAACATACCACTGACTGATTCCCAACAATATCAGTTGGAACCTTTGGTCTATGTTTTTCGGTCCATGGCAACCCAGACTGAGCTGTAGGTTGATCTTTTCGCTTGGGCAGGGAGGCAGCTGGAGACAATCCTTTCACAGCTACGCTTGTTACAACATGTTTACCAACTTGTTCTAGAAAGGAAGTTCCCACAATTTCCAAAATTAAAGCCCAACTACTATAAACATATCCATAAGGATAACAATAAATGAAAAGCACTAAATGTTGTAACATTCCAACCTGTTGGGAAAACCACACATTTACTAACAATTATAATATAGCTATGAGGAACGATGGTGAAGCTTTTATAATTCCCAAAAAAGGCAGAGAAGATACACATACAGTGAATAAGATCAACCTGACCACACGAGTCTTAAGGAGATATTGACAAAGATGCAGCAAAATAAAAAAAATCGGCATGAAAAAGTTTTTAGTTAATTTAAACTGATATAATCATATATGTGCAAATGAGTACTACAGTAACAGCAAATGTGAAGATGCCCGCACATTCACAACACAGCTATGAACTCAACAGCCTAAAAACTAAACTCAAAAGGGTAAAACCATTCTATATAAATAAATATAAATGATAAACTACCAAAATTACAGTAAATCCACCATCTGTACTAATAGTGTCAATTGATGACAGACATAGCCCTTGTTTGAGCCCCATTTTGGGGGAGAAAATGAATTTTTGAATAGTGTATTGATGGGAAATGTGTGGTTAAAAAATAAAGAAAAGTTTTTGATTTGCGTATAATATTATTTTATTGAAGAATGTGTGGTTATAATGATGTCAAATCACTGTTGAAAAATGTATTTTGATGGAAAAAATGGGGCTCAAACAAGGGCATATACTATCAGGTAAGTGTGTTGAAGGTGAATAAATTTAATTTATTCATTCTCCATGTTGATGTTTTGTTGATAGGAAGAATAAAGTGGTGTTCATCATCGAAGCAATAACAATTACAGCAACCATTCAAGCCACAGGAACGTGTAAAGATTTGACTCAACCAGCTATATACTATCTGATATATGAGTTGCATGTGAGAAATATAATTTTTGATTATCCAATTGGGATGTTTAGTTGATAAGAACAATAAATTGTTCATCATCTTAGCAATACAAATAAGAACCGTTCAAGCCACAAGAACGTGTCAAGATTTAATCCAGCTAGTGAAACAAAAAAGACAGGGATCTTTATTTCATACGCAAGCAAAGGAGTTTTCGACAGAAAAATCAAACTAGATATATATCACAATATCCATAGTATAATATTTTATAATTTCATCAATCAATCAGAAACACACTTTAAAAGCTTACACCAAGCTTCTATCCAAATGGCAAAAGCTACAGTCAAACAGAATATCAATGTGTCCATCCAAATTACAGTCAGCACAACAAAACCTCACAACAACAGCATTATGAAAACAATGCATTAAAAAAAATGCGCGCACACACCCACACAGTAGTTAAGGGAACACGTACTCTTTGTTTCCGGCACTTGAGGACTCTTCTTTGGAGGAGATGGAGCAACCTTATCCAGTGGCTTCTTCGATTCTTGTATGCTTGTTTTCGATTTATTTGATGTGCGAATCATATCAAATAAACCGTCCTCCGTAAGAAATTTAGTGCTATAAGAAGCAATCCAGTTGAAAATATTAACAAAGATATGAGTATTAGGAAAACAAGGAAATATCGCTAACATAAAATACGGCAAGTCATAAAAAAAACATAAAAACAAACCCAAGTTCTTTAGCCTTAGCAGATTTCCGTCCACCAATATCTTCATCACATAGGAGATAATTCTGCAAGGAACTACATCAGTAATGTGCTAGCAGAATAAGGCCAAGCCTAAAAAGAAGTAGGGTATGCAAATCAAAACAATCACCGTCTTTTTGCTGACAGATCCAGTAACACGACCACCATAGCGTTTAATCAAGTCCTCCGCTTCTTCTCTTTCCAAACTGGAAGGACATAACAACGTGAAAAGGTCAATTCAAATCGAATCTGAGAAATGTCTAAGCACCATGCATGACAAATACCAAGAAAATAATATTCACAAATTGTGCTTCCAAAATGAAGCAACACACAAGGCACAAAAGCATGGTGGATTATTCAAATATAGTCAAGGTCAAGCATAGTTTTGTGGTTAAATGTAAGCCCACGCACAAGAATACGTATGTATTTACGCATTTGCGCATAGATATATGTACACCTATATAGTGTTTGAAGGCTGCTTGTGCGCATGCATATTTTGGTGGTACATGCACTGAATTACAAACCCCCTAATATTCAAAGGATTACCTGTCAAGTGTTCCACTAATCACAAAAGTCAAACCAGCTAAACAGTCAGAAGCACCTTCAGGGACTTCCTGACATGCAAGAAGACCAGTCGATGTGAACAAGTTGCATTATTTACACATATAATCCACTAATCCAGATTCCAGAATGTTAATACCTTTTCTCCTTTGTGAGGAGGATCTTTCCTTTCTCCAAAATTCATAAATCCGCCCCGTCCACCACCTCCGCCTCTTCCACCTGCTGATGTGCCTCTTCCACCACGGCCTCGTCCACCAGATTTGGTCGATTTAGCATCTTTATCATCGACATCCTCTTTATCACTTCCATCAACATCCATGTCTGTAGTAGTAGTTAAAGTAGCTGAAGCATTTTTCCCTCCAGGGCCCCTACCAGCGGTTTTGAGATTAGATTTTGCTTTACCAGCATCATCTTCATCACTTTCATCAATAAGGTTTTGAGCAACTCCCTTACCCACCCCACTTTTCAATTTCTTGCCCCGGGTGGCATCAACTGATTCCCTCCTAGAAGGCGTGACAAAATCTTCATCATCATCTTCATCCTCGACTTTGTGAACCTTTTTTCCAGGTGGGGGTTTAACATCACTGTCTAACTCCGCCCTACCCCTTCGGGCCTTTCTTTTTGCTGAAACCTCCTCAACTTCCAGCTCATCTTTCACGTGTTTATCTTTAGAAAAATATTTGCTGGTTTTCCTTCTGCCAGAACTTTCTTGGGGTTCTTGTACCTGGGAACCAAAATAAACATAAAATTGCAATCAAATTTTTTTTTTCTCTTCGCTGAAAAAATAACACGGACAGATCTAAAACAAAAGATCAAAACAAGGAAAGAGATGAATGTTGGTTCGACTTTGTCCATTCTGTGTTTACATTTAGTTGCCTACATCACCACCTTTCACATCAGCTAGTGTCTATGAAATCCCTGCTCTATTTCTGTCTACTGCTGTCTGTTTTTTCTTATCTTTTCAGCCTGTTTCTAAGGCTACAAGTTGAAAAGCACTTGATACTGATATATAAATATATAATTGATTCTGAAAAACAAGATAAAATGTTTACAAATCTACAGTTGGAAGTCATTCTAGATACTAAGCTCGCGAATTTAATTTTCTTCGATAAAATTGAATCCACTTGAACCTTCTATGCGTGATAAATGTAAGCTTCTCTGACTAAAAACGTCACATTTAAAAGAAACAAACCGATTTTTCAGGCTGAGAAATGACAGCAGGCTTCTCAGCTCCAGAGGGCTTTGCAGGCTTTGATGCATTTCCATTCCCAGTGCCCTTATCATGTTGCTTCATGAACCATTTTCTTATATCTGACTGCAATTCAATGTGAAATTCCAATAAATTCCTTTCTCAAAATTCCACACGAAGATAAAATAGAAGACAGGTCATGAACAATACTAACATAGAAATGAGTTGAAAGGATAAAACTACAACCCCGAACATAATAGTGAGTTTATATGTGTTTTAATGTATCAAAAGACTACAATTTCTAACTCACCATTGTTTGGCCGCTGGCTTCAAGTTATGAATACTAGAACTCAAAATACCATCTGAAAAAGAAAAAGAAAATTCATTATTTACATTTCTAGATAAATAACAGGAAAGAATTAGATTATGACAAATAAACCAAAACGGAAAATTAAAACCTCAAAGTAGAAACAAAATTCCTACGGAGGGTTAAGGTTTATGTTTCGGGGGTTCTCAAAACTGGGGTTTTTGAACAGTATTATGCCCTTAAAGCCTCAGTATTCAATTGGCAGTGGCAGGGTTTTCCGGGGTCTCGGTCCTTCAAACCCGACCCGGCCGCCATTTCACAATGGTGCATGTTGATAGTACATGGTAAAGACAAATACAAAAGGTGGAAGAACGCGAGTTATAAGGGCGTTACGAGTTTATACCAGTCGTTGCTCCACCTGAGCGTAGCCTATATGACTCTGCACCCGCCGCTGTGAGTGTGTGTGAGGGAAAGAGAGCGAGAGATGGAGAAGACTGAACGGCTTTCACCGGAAGTGAGGTTTCAAAGGAAGATCCGTCATTCACTGTAGGTGACCCGAACCGACTATACTTGGGCAATTTTACGAAAGGATCTAACCGATTTAAATACGGATTTGGCCCCTTATAGTGGGAGATTTTTCTATTTGGTCGGATTTTATTTCTTTCTAAGTTATTAATAGAAAAGTCTATATTACTCTTACTAAAATGATTCTTCTTATATTGCAATATATATTTGAATCTTTTAAAATATTTTTATCTTATATTTATTTTATTCTAAATTTTAGTATATAGGTCCATATTATGATCTAATATATTGGAATATTCTGTCAATATATTGGAATATTCTGTCAAGATATTGTTCATATTTTTTTACTAAGTATATTATATTTTTCAGAAGATGCATTTATATTTTTTAATTGAAAAATTATATTTTTTATTTCTTCTAACATTCTTTCTAATAAATTATATAATCCTTTAATTGTATATTCTGGCATTCAATCATAAATAATCCCTATGATTCTCTAAAAACTTAAAAAGATTTATTCTGATTTTAGCAAAAATTAATAGTCTTACCTTAGTTTTGATCTGGACTTTTACATTTAGAATTGAGTGATATTCGAGCTTTGAATATATAAATTGCTTCCTTCGACGGCCTTTTGCCTCAACGGAATCTTTACTATTTCTGCTTCTTGCTGTCACTGTATCATTTCTAAAAAATAAGATAGTTGTTGGTTTGCATTTTCATTTTCAAAACGATTTTTAGTTTTCCTCAAAAATAACCCATTTTGAGCGTTTTCGACATTTATAACTGAAAACGCTGCAAACGATAAAAAATCGTTTTGTGTTTTCAGTTATAAATTTTAACTCGTTTTCGAAAATACGTTTTCGAAAACGACGGACCAAACTCTTTTTTCACGTTTTCGAAAACGGAAAAGGGGCCGAAAATGGCAAACTAACCACGACCTAAATTTCTAGACTTCGATTAAAGAAAAACTCTCTTTTTGCTAAAATAAGAAAGAAACTTTCTATTAGATTCTTTAAGAATCTATGAGAAATAAAGATTTAGAAACTCATATTGATATCAAAATATTGGAATTTTATTTCTGTAGCATTTTTACAAGACTTCTATTTTATACAAAAGGGTTTCCAGAAAAACTGATTTTGAACTGGAGATAACTTGAGAACAGATATTGATTCTCTACTACAACTCGAGATACCTTCTCCCGTTCCTAATACCTCTATTTATACATACATATGGAGTTCTATTATTAATCTATTTAAATCATTGCATATATCAGTTATATCAAAAGGTACATTTGCTTTTCTATTATTATCCTTTTATCTTTGTGTCTTCACGTGTAGTTAGGACAATCTCTTAGCTAGCAAGATTCTTTGATAGTGTTATGACATCTTGATAATTTATGTATGTTGAAATTTTACGATATAGTCCTTCAAGACTTTTGATTTTTCATGTCCTCCATTTGTAACTAGCATCCAATTTTCATATTGACATAAATATGATAATTTTTTAAAATACAATATTTTGGCAATATTGTATATAGCTTTGATTCCAAGTGCTCTTCTATGCTTGATCCATGATTTTGTAACCAATGAAACTTTTCTATCATTCTCCATAACATCTATTTGAAAATTGGCTACTACATACACAATTGATATTATGGCCCCGTTTGTTTTTCATTTATAGAAGAATGAGAATGAAAAATATGGTCGTTATGAGCCCCACACAAGAGATAAAAATTCAAATTTGATGGTTTGATGTGATGAATAACGATCATATTTTTCATTTTAATGAGAAAATAATGGGAAACAAACATAGGCTATATGCTCAACTGGATAATAAACAATTTTATCATATTCAGGACTTATTGAATAAAATTTCAGATATATTATTCGTCATTTGGCAAATTTTGATACTTTTTTTATGAACATATCATCAAATTTTGATATTTCAATCAAAATCTTTCTTGGATATATTAAATCCAGAAATCCATAGTCTGCAATTATCTTTATGAATGAAGGTTTTCCTCCTTCCATAGTTGTTACTCTAGGATAAACACTATATTCTAGAGAGATGAAATATGAATCATTTATTTTTACTTCATAGAGAATCTTGACTATTTTGGCATATTCTTCTCCTTTTAGATCTAAAGGGATCATATCATCTTGACCTATGATACTGATAGTTTTGGAATCATATTTATCTCCATGTATTATCACTTTTTTAGTTGATGTTATTGGAATCGAATCTCCTTTTTTATCAGTTGGTATGGTATCGCGTCTAGGTCCACTGCTGCTTTCAACTGTCCCTGTTTGGCATTGATTTGAAAAACTCATTTATAAGCTCTTTGGTATATCTGTCTCAGACAGTATATCTTTAGTTGTGCTGCAATAGCATCAACTTGATTTTTGAGTTTCATGGTTTCTTTATGTTGCTCAGTAGTGATATTCAACAATACTTTTATATTTGAGTTGAATATTTTTGAGATCTGTGTTGCACCAGCATCTATGTTTTCAGCTTTTTCTTTAAGAAAATCTATCTTTTTTTATATGTAAGATAAATTGATATAAATCCATGACCTTTACTTTATCCGTCAACAAATTCTATATTTCTGCTAAGAAAATTATTGACTCATTTAATATGAATTATATCAAAATTATAAAATGCTAAATAAACTTGACATCTATAGAGCCTACTGTATTGAGGTTCTGATAGTAGTTTATTCCTGACTAATCTCGCAACTTGAAAATTATTAGTTTCAACAGTAAATTTTTTGGATAATAACAATAATAAAAATTTTTTTATTACTCTAATAATTACTAGTAATTCTTTTTCATGGGCGGTGTAATTTATTTCTGTTTGATTAAAAGTTCCACTTGAATATCTACAAATCTCATTTAGATCTATTTTTAATATTGCTGCCCGATATTTATCTGAGGTATCGGTATTAACGATCAAATTATCTTTCTCATATGATAATATTAATTTTGGTAAATTTTTATATTCTTCTTTTAATGATCTAACTATTTCTGTATGTTCTTCATTTCATTCTTTAGTATTTGTTTTTTCCAAATAAAATTTTTATTTTATGCTTTTTCTTAAAAAGATTTTCAATAAATTCTTTTGCATAATTTAAACATCCCAATAAATTTTGTGTTTGTTTTTTGGATTCTAGTTTATCTGGAAAGCTTTCTATTTTTTTTAGATATACGAGTCTGCAATTTTATTCCTCTTTTATTTATTGATAATTCAAGAAAGTCGATTTCTTATTTTTCTATTATAGATATATTTTTAGAATGTACAACTCATTCTTTTTTTCATTCATTTACAAATTAGATTAAATGATTTATATGTTTTTTTTACTATTAAAACATATTAGTATATCATTTATATAAACAATTAGAAATTCATTAAACTTTTTAAATATATTATCCATTTTTTTTATATATTTGTGGTGCATTTTTTAAACCAAATAACATAAATAATCATTTATATTTTCCTTGAAGTGTACTAAATGTAGTATATTGTATACTATTTTCTTCCATTTTTATTTGTCAAAATCCTGATTTACAATCAAATTTAGAATAATATTGTTTTCCTTTTGTAAGGTTTATTAAAATTTATTTATTTGGTAAAAAAAATCCATCAAATTTAGTATATTTATTTAATTCTTTATAATTTATAACCATTCTAACTTTTCCTCTAATTTGTTCAGAATGTTTCATGACCATAAAGGTAGGACTACTATTAAGTCCATTACTAGGTCTAATAAGTTTCTGTTCTAATGATTATTTTATCATATTTTTGAATTCTTGTGTACCTTCTATGGTATGAATCATTGGTCTGACTCTTATTATAACATTTTCTGTTAATTCTATTTTGACTTTAGGGTAATGTGATTTCCAAAATAATAACGGATTTTCTTCATAAATTTTTTCTAATTGTTCAATAATTTTTTCTATACTTATTTCTATTCCTATTTTAAGGACTTTTTTAGACAATTTTTATTTTTATTTTTTATTTCATTATATATGATTGGTTTTTCTCCCATTAATCACCACGCTGGATTGGCTGAACTCTATAAGATCTAAGTGCTCTTTGAATTTTTAATAAGTGTGAGTAAGGTATTTGTAACATTATCATATAATTATTTTGTTTATAATATTGAAATTGTTGTATAAAGTCATTTTCTAACAATATATCACACTCTAATTTATCATATTTATATATTTTATTTATTGTAATTTGTTTACTTCCAAAAATTATATCAGCACTATTAATTATTTGAGTCATTTCTCCTATCACTCCAGTTATTTTTATATTACTATCATTATTCCATGATTTCATCAAAAAAAAATTTTAAACATTATTATATCACTTCGTATGTCTATTAAAACACAAGTTGTTATATTTATTTCTATAATAGTAACTTGTATATATACAACTAATGGAAAACTTATTTGATTATTCATTTAATTCTTTTTGTATAATATAGTTTGTCCATTATGAACCATGTATAATCCTTCTATTTTTATGCTATAATATTTTAATTCATTCAGGAAACTCATTCCTAAAAGTATATGAGAATTTATATTCATACTCTTATCTATATAACATGGTACTAAAAAATTTATTCCTCATATTTTTATAGGTACTTTAACTTCTAAATCTGTAATATGTACTTGTTCATCAAAATTTACATATCTATATGGTTCATTTTCATGAGTTATTAAACATTTATTTTTGATTGAAGTTATATGACATTCACTAGGTCTTTATCTATTAGTACGTTTGTTCCATTTATATATTCTCTTCCATTAAAATATTTTCCTTTTATTTTAATATTTCCAGCATTTTTATAAAGTTTTATTTTTCTTATATTAAATTCTTCTAGCTGGTTTTTATTAAGCATTCTAAGACTTTTTGATCTTTTAATCAAATTTTCATCTTTAAATGTTATATTATTAAAGCATTCTTCTTCATTTGATTATGTTATTTCAGATTTATTTTTTGTTATTCTAAATTTATATTCTTCTGG